ATAATAAAAACCAAATTAAGGAAGCTCTGGAAAACAGATATGATAATCTCAAATTCATTTAGAAGTAAATTCTAAGCTCAATCTTGAACTATAAAAAACTTAAAATCATATTAAACCAGTTGCTAATCAAAAACTAAGAGGTAAAGAATATATCATTACTGATTCTCAAATTATTAGAAGTAAGGTTGAAGAATATTACAAAAAGACTTTCAAAAAAAGAAATGTCAATTTTGAAAGTCTTAATTCCTCTTGAAAAAAAGAATATCAACTCAAGAAATAGATTAATTTAATATGATACTTACTATTAATAGAAGAAATCAAAGTAAAAAAGATTAAAGCTACTTTACAATCCCTTTCAAACAATAAAGTTGTTGATCCCTTATACATAAACTATGAAATGCTCAAACACTTAGGAGTTAAAAGAAAAAAAACTTTATGTCTTCTTTTTAGCAAAGTTCTAAGTATGAGCCAGATATCTAGAAAATAGAAAAATAATAATATCTATTCTATTTCCAAACTCAAGCCCTGGAAATGTAATTTAAGCAATACAAAACCTATTATTCTTCTAGAAATAGCTTGAAAATACTTTAACAAGATCCTTATCAACTGACTATTAACCATCTGCAAGCAATATAAAATTCTAAAAGATCAAACTTTATCAGTCTATAAAAAAAGAGTAAGTACAATAGAACCTATCTGTTTGCTAAATAATATCTGTGAAGAAATCAAAAAAAAAGAAAAAAGAACTATGAACCCTTTTTCAAGATACTGTCAAGACATATAACATAATATTTTTTTATATGCTTGAAAAGGCCATAGATCAGATTCAAATTTTTACAACTATCAAGAAGCTTATAATAGATCTTTTTAAAGATAGAAGTTGTAGTATTATCCTTTCTAATAGACTCTCTAATCCAATAGTAACAGGGATAGTATAAATTAAGGAGAAACAATTTTTTCACTATTATGAAGAATTTTCTACAATTCATTGCTATACAAAATTTAAAACAATAGTAACTTGGGTTATTCTATGGAAGAAGAATAAATATCCAATTTCAAAAAACCTGAGGAAAAAATTAAGCTCTCTTTAAGGTAGGCAGTAATTGCTTATATGGATGATATGATCTGGATTGTCAAATCCAAGAAAAATCTTAAAAGAAACAAAAAAGTTTTATATAGCAAATGACTCTCAGATTAATACAAGAAAGTCAATTCTTCTTATTATTAATTAGAATTCTCAAGTTTTTGAAACTGTTTAAGCTGGAATAGTGAATATTATAATTCATGAAATTAATAAAAAGGATCAAACCAGATTTCTTAATATTTGGTTAAGATCAAGACAAAAGAATCAGGATATCATTAGCCTGATAAAATTAGAAATTAGGATAGTAATTCAAGCAATAACTAAGAAAAAGTTAATAGAAAAACATATCTAATATGTTATTAACAAGATTCTGATATTAAGAATAAAATATAGAATACAATATACACATCTAAATGAAAAAACATATAATAATCTTATAGCCATGTTTAGAAAAGTATTCAAGAATAAGACCTTAATCTATAAAACAATCCCAAATAGTTATATTCATAACAAAGAAATATATGGTCTCAAGAGTATTTGAGAAATACAACTAGAAAGTCATATACTTGCACTTTTCTATCAATATAATAATAATAAGACCAATGAAACAAAAAATAGATAACAATAAATATCTAGAAGTTCAAAATATTAAAATACAAAATATTAGTATTGAACTATAAAATATTAATATAAAATAAGATAAAAAGTTATAATAAATATTTTTATTTTGTATCAATTATATTTATTTTTTATTTTAGAATATTTTTGGTATTATAAATTCATGACTAAGAATATTTTTATTTGAAATCAATAATCAATAACAATTTATTCAAATATAGAAATTTGTAATTTTCAATTTATTATATAAAAGTTATATTTTTATATCTAATTTTAGAATTTTTTTATTAAAAATATTCATTATAAATATCATTTAAAACAATTTTTACTTTCAAAAAGCTATTTACAAAAATTTTTTTCAAAATAATAAACAAAAATCTTTTGAAAAAAATATTCAATATATTTTTTGATTTTAGTATTTCAAGATTTTTATACTTAGATCTTTTTAAAGAAAAATATTATTAAAATATTGTTGAAACCTTAGGAGTATCTTCTATAGTTTAACATGTAATATCAGTTGCTATTCAAAATAAAGAAACTATAAATAAAGATGTAAAAGTTAGATTAATATAATTAGATAATATACAAACTATAATTATTAAATATGAATTAATTTTTTTTAAACTTGAATATTAATTTGCTAATGAATAGAATATTGAAAAAAAAATAAGAGTCTTGAAAATTTAAGAAAAAATATAGAAAATAATAAATTAAAAAGAAACAATAGTTTAGAATTAGAAATTTTTATATTGTTATTACAAAAGATGAATATATAGATTATTGTTTTCAATAAATATTATATATTAGTATAATTTTAATTATAATAATTTACTTATATTAAAATAAATATTAAAGTTAATGAAAATATTTTAAAATTCAAAAAAAACCCTTTTTTACTAATCCTCTAATCACACACAAAAAGATGTTTGCAAGAAGTTTTTGCACTTCCTTGTTAATAAAGTCTTAACACTTTTCTTAAAACAACTTGAAGTATTACTTCAAGAGTCACTTCTATCCTTCCCTTATTGTCTATAAATCTCTTTACTCAAAAACTTGACTTCTGGTAACCAAGAAAATCAAGTAATATCTTTGATATCAATGGCAAGAAAGTTTCTAATGGAAGAAGAACTGATTGTGAAGTACCTAAAAGTCTTTTTAACCTTTGAAGTGAGAGATTTATAGAGATTTTTTGTAATAAAAAGACTTACTTTCTTCCTTTTTAACTGTCTTGATTCTTTTAGAGCTTCCATTTTTATAGTTTTCTGGGAATTTTGCCTATCTCAGTTTGACCCTGAATTTTGGATAGCACAAATTCTCACCAAAGATAATTGGCTGCATAAAACATGTCAGTTTTTGAAATGAAAACAAGCTCCTATTGGTTATACTCATGTGTTTCAATATATTATTGGTAATATAGGAAAGGAAGTTTTAGAAAAAGTGTTTCCTCCAATTGTATATATTTATCTTCCAAGAAACAATTATGATATCGAAAGGCAAGCAATAGGTAGGAAAAAAAAATCTAACATCCATCTCTCATTAAGTTCCTCAGGTAGTAAAAAGATTTTCTTGAATAAAAGCTGAGATCTTTAAGCTTTTATCCTAATTAAACAAAGTTCTTAAAAAGATTTCTTTATTCTGATCAGACAAACTTTTCCATAATATGGCATTGACTCCAATAGTATTAAGTGAATCCATACATTGACAAAAAGATAAGTTTCTAAATATTCTTCTTGAAATCATTTTCAGGAATAGTTAAGTTTTTCAAATATCATAAAGCTTAAAGAATATTTCAATTAGATAAACACCTTTTGAAAAAAAATTGTGAAATAAAGTAAGAATCTTTTGGAAAGCTTTGAATTGTATTTCTTTTCCTTCTTTTTTCTTAGTGCCAACTTTAGCAATTTATTATTTTTTAGAATAATCAACAATGACAAACTGTTGATAATAATCCTAATTAACTTAAAGACTAATGTTAAGCTATTAAGATAGTATAATATTGTTCCCTAAATTTGACTTAGAGTATCTAGTTTAGACTTAATTTTGTTTAGTTCAAATTAGCTTAATAGACTTCTTATATTTTTTAAATAGTATAGTTCTTTAATTAATAATGTACAATAACAAGTTAGTTGCTTTGTGAAAGTCTGTAAACATTGTGATATCTTTTAATATCTCAATAAAGATATGCCATTGTGATATAATTATAGGTTAAAAAAAAAAATTTTTTTTTTAAAATTCAAAAAATTTATACTTAAGTACAAGAGGAATTTTACAAGAATATGAATATAACTTAAATTAGATGAAACTAATAAAGTTCATATTATTATATTATTTTTCAAAATAAAGAAAAAAATAAAAATATATAATCTTGTCAAGTATTTGAAAGAATAGAATTTAATGAAAGTAGATTTAAAGTGATAAAGAAATTTCAAATAAATCCATTTTACATCAATGATGTAATTATCTCTTGAGAGATTCTAGAAGTGAATAGAGTTTATCAAACTTTTAGTCATAATAATTATATTAAAATATTTATCAATCAAATTTTAAGTTTGTCAAACTTTTTTTATAAGTTGTTATTTTATTAACATTAGATTTATAATTTTGATAAAATTAAGATTTGATTCCAGCTGGCATTAAATTTACAATTCCGGTTGACATTAATTCCTAACTCTGGTTAATATTAAACTATAGTTTCGATAGAATAATTTAAGTGGACATTATTATTTTCGCGATAATCACACTTCTCTCTGAGATGTCACAGTGATGATCGTACCCCGTAAAGTGAAGATTAGCTATTTTAGGTCCAAAAAATTTTTGGTTTTGATTCATCGGCTTCATCATGTCAATGGTTAAACGGCAACGTTTCATGTCCCAAACCAAATTAGGAAAATTGATTGACTTTGTAACAGCCGTGATGTGTGACAAATAATATTTATATATTTATACGGTTATTTAATGATATGAAGTTGTCATTTGTAACAGCTGTGACATGATAAACTCATGAATTGGGTACCCGTAATGCAGTTGTTCTGCCCCATAATGGCTCCGAAAAGGCGAACATGACCGCGATGATGTGGTGTTTTTCATTATTTTTTGGTGTTTTTTTTTGTGCCGTTGTTCTTTTCCGAGACTGGAGGTATCTTACGCGCAGTTTTTAAACCATTTTTCTCATTTTTATTATAAATCAAACCACTTTCCCACAGCAACCGAGACTGTGGTTTAGCAAAAAATTAATGAATTATTATATTTTCGACAAAAACTTTCATTGGTCAATATTCTATAATTTCCTTATTTAACTATGGCTCACCAATCGTTATCGAGGGTTTCTAATAATCCTACTACGCAAGGCTTTCATAACTTTCGTCTTGGAACTTCGGACCATCCCACCGGTCCTCAACTGGATCCTCTTCTTCGAATTGCATTTTTGGAGTATCAGGTTGCTAATTTGAAATCTGAAAATACTTATCTCCATTCTCAGGTTATAAAGTTACAGCATCAGGCGGACGAATTAAAGAATCAAGTGGACGAACTACAGAATCAAGTTGAAGTTCAACAAATTGCTAGTTCTATTTCCAATGAGAAATTTTTTGAAGAAATTATTTCTTTACAGATGGATGATTCTCTGTAGGCAATTGACCTTCTCCCTCGGATTTTATTATTCCTTTTAAGAATACGCTAATATGCTTTAAAATTATGCAAGTCTTAGATACTTATTTACTTTAGAAAATGCACGAATAACTTTCAGATTTCCTAATATCAATGTATTTGCAGTACTTTGATAAAATCATCAAATATATTATATACTGTATCTTTACGCTCTCCAAATTTAGTCATCAAGTTCAAATACTATAATATATCATGTCTTTTAGTAAACGGAAATAAATACTAAGGGTATTATATTGGTTAAATAAGTCGCTACATTTTTAAGAATTTCTTGCGAATTTAAAACTCGGTTCTTAGATATTGCAATAATCCTGGATTCCATAAATTTATTAACGTTATTTTATGTTGGATTACTAATACATTAGGTAATGATATGTTTAATAATACACTGTCAATATTATATATTATAGCAAAAACTCCGCACGAAGAATAAAATCATATTAAGCTTTATAAAATTTGGCTCTTTTAAATTGCTAAAAATTAATATATATTTTTATATGAATTTAAATCGCTTGTTTGCAATCTTAACATTTTATACACGTGACTTGGCAGTAGACATTCTTGCAACCGTACTTTCAATCACGAGATCAGATATTACGAGTATCATTCGGAGTTCAAAATGTCAAGAAACGCTTCTCATGCTGGTTCTTGGTATAATGATATAGGTACTTGTACTTGCGGTGTAATATTCCATTGAAATATACGGCACCGTCATAATGTTTATTTCTTAGGTTCTGAGCTGAACGAAGAACTTGAGCAATGGTTAAGAGAAGTTCCTTCCGACATAGAGGATGGTCTTCCTACACCAATTCCAGGTGCTCGAGCAATTATCGCACCGTAAGTTCTACATGGGCTTCGATTTGTAACTTATCATCTGTATGGTTGTTATTAAACCAAATTGTTGATTTTCCAATAGGCATGCTGGATACTCCTACAGCGGACCGGCTGCCGCATTCGCCTATAAGTGCATCGATCCCAATTTCGTGTAGGTCAAGTTTTTACTTATATGTCAAGATTGGACACGGTCATATATTAAGTTTTAAACATGTTTAATTAAGGAAACGCGTTTTTGTCCTCGGTCCTTCTCATGTTGCGTACCTCCATAACTGTGCACTTTCAACATTCTCTCAATATAAAACTCCATTAGGAAACCTCGTCTTGGACACTGATGGTAAACCGAATTTTTCTTCCCCTTTCATAAACCAAGCCTATTAACGATTGATTGATTATAGTGATCAACGAGTTACGTGCCACTGGCCGTTTCGGCGAAATGGATCAATTTGACGAAGAAAAAGAGCATAGTATCGAGATGCATCTTCCATACATTTATAAGATCTTGGAAAAGTATATAGAAATTTCAATTTTATTTAATGTTTTTACTTCTTGATCGGGCTCTCTAACAAGTATAAAATTTTATTATAGAAAAATTGATTCTATCAAAATCGTTCCTGTCTTAGTCGGATCATTGTCACCATCTGACGAAGTCCTATATGGAAAGTTGTTTAGTCCCTATCTTGCTGATCCATCCAACCTATTTGTCATTTCTTCAGATTTTTGTCACTGGTAGGCACACGTTTTTAATTTCATTTATTTATTAAAAATTTTAATCTTCTAAACCAATTTTGCGGAAACATAATAAGGGGACAACGATTTTCGTATACTTATTACTCAGATTCACCGGGGACTAGTTTCAACCTTAACCGTAAATCGAACATGCCCCTTACCATTCCGATACACCGATCCATTGAAAACCTCGACCGTGAAGGGATGACCATTATAGAACGGATTAATCACAAGGAATTCGTTTCTTATTTATCGAAAACAAGGAACACCATTTGTGGAAGACATCCTATCGGTGTGCTCTTATGTGCGATCGAAGCACTGCCAAGTGAGCCTGAGGAAATTGATGTCGAGGATGGAACCACCTCCTCAGCGTTTGACAGGATCAAACCTCGAATTCGTTTTGTGCACTATGCCCAGTCCAGTAGAGTGACTCGTGAAAATGATAGTAGCGTTAGTTACGCGTCAGCTTATGTGTACTTGCCGTAATTAATTCTTATATGCCATCGATCATTTTCATAGTTAATGAATTTCAATCTATTAAATTCAAATTTAAGATGTTCACAAAATTTTTATATTCTAATTTTCATGTTTTCTGAATTTTCCTTGTAACCAAATTCTATACATTTGAAGCCTTCGATGTCGGTTTACTATTAACCTCCTATCTATGGCATTCTGTTCGATTGTGAATTTCGCATCCCACAATGATTCTATCTCCTCTTGGAGAGAGAATTAAGTTTGATGTAAGTAAATTGATAAAAAAAAAGCGAAAATTTTTGAGATTGAAATTCTGCTCACCCGAGGTGAAAAAATATACACGAGTACCGTCGCCACGGACATAAAAATTATCCGAGAGCATTCGACCTTCTTTAAACCTCAATTGTACCATGTCATATCTACCATAATCTTTTAAGCCGATAATTCCACTTATAATAACCATTTGTATATAACATTACAGATGACTTTTAAAAAAAAAAACATGCACACCTCTGAAAAGAACAAGGCCACCTGGTTTGAGCATCTACACAAAACATGCAATTAGTATTTATAATATTGTCGGATGTATATCTATTTACACCGAAAATAAAGAATCACCTTGTAGACGTTCTCGACAACTTGTTTCCAATCTTGAGGGCGTATAGCCGACATGACAAAAATCAACACCACGATGTCTAAACTACCTTGCTCTATGCATTCCGGTATTTCATCGCTGGTCAAATCCCAAACAAATGCTTTACATTTTTTAGGATCATAGTCTTGATTGTTCTTTTTTTCAAATGGGAGTCAGTAAATTGTGCGCATGTGCGTTAATTACAGATGGAATAGAATTACCAAAACGACATCGACAGCATTCGAAGCAAAATCACACGCATAAACGAATAATTCAGGATTTTTATTTTCCGCTAGTAAAGGAAACATGGTGTTTCCAGCACCACATCCTATCTCGAAAATTTTCTTTGAACCGGCCTAAGAAAGTTATATAAATTCTTTTAATATACAAAAGATAAATGGCGATGAGGCAGCTATGGTTAAAAAAGTACATGCACCTGACTTCGTGGTCTCAATGAGTTCAGGGAATTCTATTTTCAACCACTGCCGATCTTTAAAGAACTTGTTTTCATTATGGCGATAGAATTTATTCCAATGTTCTGCTGCCTCCAGGTGATATTTTTCTATAAAAATTTTTTAATCATTATTTTTAGAAATTTTCGGTCGAATACTGGATTCCATACAATGGAAATATGACTTGATAATTGCCTTGCTCCTCGGGTGACATGAGCTTATTTGCTTGCACACGAACTCTCTCCAGCGCCGCCTTTTCTTGTTCCTCATCCCACTGTACATTATCCCTATTATTTTTTATGATAAATAATGCAGGACGCTCAGCTTTGAATGAAGTGAACAAATCGTTTACGTGGTTTACATACCAAGCATTATGATTCCACACATTATCCTTATCACTTAAAATACGGGTTCCAAACACTGGAGTTCCTTCACGAACATCACAAACGCTTGACCAATCCTTTTTGAGTTTTGACTTTACATTGGAGGAAAACACTTCATTTTGATCAGTTGATGATTGTGTGTCTTCTGTTAATTCAGGTGACATGATTTTCCTTAAAATCCGAGATCAAGGTTATATATAGTATAGGTCGTTAGAAAATAACTTGGTCCAACCCGACTCCAGGAGTCGAGTCTCGGTTTCGACTATAGTCACGTGAAAACCGATTATATAATGAATAAATTATTTGGAAGTTAGTCTATTATTAAGATTCGTATGTTTTTTTTTGTAAAATATACATTGATAATTTTTAAGTCTATGCTAATGAGTTATAATCTATCGTTAAAAAAAAAATTGTCACGATATTTTAAGATTTGTACCATTAGCGCATCATTTTTTTTTCGAGACTCATTTGTAAATTCAAAGTTACGACACAAAAGAACACGTGAACGCAAGTAACGAATTGATTAAATTATTCATCAGAACTATTTCAAAAGCAATAATGAAAGCATGTAAAGAGAAATTAACTATAAATAAAAAATAAGAATAAAACATTTTTTGATGTATGATATTGTGTATGAAAAATGTAAGTCAAGATTCTAATCGATTGTTCCTTTTTCTTCGTATCCCCTCATCTAAGACACTTCTTGTCCCACTACTTTTCAACATGTCAAAAGCTCTCATTAAATTTCCATTAGTCTCTTTCAACGCCTTAACGGCTGTCGCATGGTCAAACCCACAAGTTTTTAAAAGTTTCGCCTTTATCTTTGATTTTTCTTTCTCAACATTCTTTTCCCACGCTTTCTCCACCTCTCGCTCAACCTCTAATTGTTTGTCTCTTAGGATGGTCTTGACCACAACCTTAAATGCACCACTGATTGGCCTGTGGTCAGACACATTACATTCGTATCTCCTATAATGTTCTTGTTTTATCCTTGGTCCTCGATATAGTATTCTATCGCACCAAGCGGGCGTGCGTCTCTTTTCCGAAGTATCGTATTCATCTTCGCCAGGATTATATTTGTATGTCGGCGCAAAATTAGGTACCCCTTCGGAGAACGGTAGCAATCGAAATCCGGGATTTGAGCTGCGTTGTCTAAACAATTGATCGTGCTCCCACAATAGTGCGAAATTTTTTTCTTCAACCGCTTCCAATACCTGCTCGCGTGGTAAGTCAATTCTGTAGTTGAGATCGCCACTGAAGAAGCAAATCTCGTGGTCGGATATTGCCGTACCGTCACCTCCGTGAACAAAAACTGATTCGTTTACCTCCCGAATCGAAAACTCGGTAGTATCTAATATATTTGCGGCATCCGTGTTCCGCGCTGTTATTTGTGTTTGTCCTGCTGCCAGATGACAATTCACAAAGCACATCGAAGAGTCATCATACGTGAATCGAGTCGCTATCGAACCCTGAATCATAAAATTTCTGCGCGTTAAATCCGGTGGCAAATAATAATTCAAGAGAACATAAAAATCAGATATACCTTATTCCCATGATAACCTTTTAATCCAGTTTTCTTAGTAGCGATGTCGATATTCTTTACATGCTTACGTTCTGATTCCTTCACAAAGATACATGTGAACAATCCGACAAGGTATTCTGAACTGATAACCTCGTATTTTTCCCCGTATGCCGTATACTCACGAACCGCTTTGACAAGCTTATCACGCCATGCCTTGTAACGTTGTGTCAAATTAGCAGCATTTTGCTTTTCAGTCTTCTTTTTAGTCAATATCGTTTCTGTTTGGTAGTATTGAAATAACTTGGAAAATTAATTTTTAAAAAAATCAAAAACACCGCAGTTAAACCCTTTCCCACTTACTGGCGGTTTGCTTTCCTGACTCCAAATCTATAATTTCCTGGAACCCTATTACAATTATATCGGGAGATTCGGTACTCGTGAACCAGAGCCTCAGGAACTTGGTGGCATCATGAGATCGCTCCAAATCGGAAGGTTTTGAAGCATCAATATTCCACGAACATATTAACACCTTGATCTCTCGATATTTGCAGTATTCTCTTCCACGGACGATCATTTCATCAGCTAAATCAAGTAGATAGGCGTTAAAATCACAATCGCCAATTGTTAAATTAAACACCAAACAATCACAATCATGTGACTTACCAATCCAATCTTGTCCCATCAATCCATCCCACACTTTGATTTGCCCCTCAGCACTACAACTAGCAACCTGCAACCGATTTACCTTCCACAATCCATCCTCGTCATGGTGCATTTCAACCACCGGAGATTTATGCGCCTTCCAATCTTTGACGACCATCCAAGGATCCTTCGTGACATCATATATGTAGATCTTCCCTGTCTTAAATCCAACCCATAGATAATCTCCAACGCCTAACAAGGACGTGATGTTATAAACCGACACTTTTATTGATAATACTCGGTTAAATGTCTTGGCATTCCACGCGGTGACATTGCCATCCTCGTGTCCGACATAGACCAGAGAAGAATTATCCGTTTGCGTCATACACTTTACATTCCCCATGTCAATTCCAATCTCGATTTTTTTTATGTTCACCCTATTCTCGTCCAATGGATTAAAGACCTCTATGGTCTTTCCAGCGGCTGTCCAGAGATGATGACCAACTACAAGAGCGCAAGTTTGTTTGGCAACTAATTGAATTGATTTCGGAGTTGATCTTAATGAGACAACACCACCATCTTCCGACCATATCAACAACTTTCCACCGTCATCTAGAGACCACAACTGAAATTCATGACGTAAAATGAAATTCACCGGATAGCCGTGAGCTTTACGTGCCATTTCCAGGTACCTTTCTTCGCCATGAATTTCAATGGCAAATATATTACCGTCTTGCCCACCACCCCAGATAAACCTGCCAACATCCTCGATTCTTCGCGTTGGACGCCAACAAAGGCATGTTATTTTGGTATCCTCATGTGAAATCGTATTAATGTTATCACCTGAATCAAGCGACCACACACGAGTATGACCAGAATCGGTGATAATGAATTTACCTGTTATTTCGAATGCACGAGTTGTTCCCTTGTTATTAATTTCTTTGATGCCCTTGAATTTGGGGGGTCTACGATTGGACTTGGTCAGATCAGGTGCTTCCGATGTGGAATTAGAGTCCGTCGGATTATTTTCAGAAACGATTTTGTGTTGTTTGATGCCCGTTTGTGAACGAAGCGAGGGTGGACGATTTGGAAGAGGTGGTGGTGGCATTTGAGGACGACCAGGTAACGGGGGTTTGCTACCCTTGTTTGCCTTTTTCTGAGTTGAACTCGCGTAATGCCCATTTTCAGAATCCTCGTCTTCAACTAAAATGTTCTTGGGAGGTAATCTTGGCACATACACTTCATCATCTTCATCTTCTGTATGTCTGCGTTCCTTTTTCTGTTTAATGGCTGAAAATTTGTTATTCGAAACGTGTTGATTATCGGAGTCATCACCATCCTCGCCATTCATATCTCGGAATGAATAGCCGCGAATTTTAGTTCGAGGTGCTCGAACACTGTGTGCGGTAGTTTCCTCAACTGAATTTGCGAGGTCGTTATCATCTGCAAAAGGATCGATTCCTTGAGAGTCGTCGAATGGATCATGATGATCTTCTATCATTTTTAGGTCTGTCTTTGGGTTATTTGAATAGGAGGGAGAGGTGGATCGACTAATAATAGGTTTGGTAGGTGATCTTAGTGGTAATGCAGGTTTTGGCGGTTTAAGTGCATTATTACTTGCTATTAAATTAGCAACCGAGGGTTTATATGAATTTCCCTGTTCCTTGGTTTTCGAGGATTCATCTTTTGTCAAATCTGAGAACGATTCGTTCTGATGTAATGTTTGTTGCTGCTGCTGCTTGTGTTGCTGACGCGGTAAGTTCGTTATATTTGGAAAAGATGGTTTATTTGGCGTTTGTGGTCCGTTAATATTAACGCCTCCACAAACTTTAGGCCCAAATTTGGCGCCTGATGACTGTTGTTGGTTTAATTGTTCGAATCTAGATTTAAGTGAACTAACAGATTCTGTTCTCGTCTCGTCATCAAGATTGGCACCATCCACCTGTCCTAACAAAAGATGAGAAAGGTGGGTTTCAACGAAACCCCGTTATGATAAAAAAAAAATTCATTTAAATCAAAAATCCAACGCACCATCAGGTACGCTTAGCTTCTTGTTGAAAACAGCAGCAGGAGGTTTAATATCGCGAGTGATTTTAATGTAAGATTGATTGCTATTCATTATTACTATACATCTACCATATGCTAGAAGTTTGACCTTTTTATACGTAATTCGTTTAGGTGTCACAGAACCCGTCCAATTAATTTTGCGTCATCGTGAATGAAATAATACGCATGCAGTTAATTGTCTCACGCATACGAAAAGCCTTTTTTGTGTAATCATTTAACGTACACAACGCATAAAATTTATCTTTTCAATAGAATCGAAACGTAAGGATTTGCTTAAAATGAATGAAACCAAGGAACTGGTGCTCGGGAATACAGTCCAAGTGTTCTGCCAAGCAAAAGATAACGAATCAGCTCGAAGCGGAGAATACTGAATGGTTAGCATTTATACTGTTTAAATGCTAAGCAAATGAACTATATCAAGGTATCTGCGCTAAGATCCTCTTGGAAACGATATCTATACTTGTGCTAATATGAAAAGGTACTTTTGAATATACAAAATTAAGGTCTCATTTTAGCATTGAACTTTGATAACAAAATATCGGAAATAAAAATTTGTACTACTCATACAATTTAATATCAATCTTTATTTTTTTTTTTGTTAATCACTTGCTAAAATAAAAAAAAATCAAACCGTGTTGAAATCTTTAAGGAAACAGGTTAGATTAGTGTATAAAAAGCATATCCAAAATTAGAACAGATAAAAATAAGTCGACATAACCATAAAACCTTTAATTTATATACTATATACTGTATATAAATTTATATATTGAGAATAAAATTAATAAAATTGAATTTTTTAATTATCAATAAAATAAATTCGATTTTAATAAATTTCTTAATTAATAAAACCTTTATATATTTTTTTCATTTCAGTCTTTTTATATATTTTTTCTTTAATAAAACTTGAATTTTAATAACTTAAATAAGTCAGTAATGCTTTTTTTATTTATAATAAAAAAGTTTAAATAAAAAAAAGTCTAATAATTAGTAATCTCTTTTGTATTAAAAAAAATATTATAAAAATTTTCTGTATAATAAAAAACTTTTGTCTTATAATCTCATTGCTTTTTTATTATAGCTGAAGTTCAATAATAGTTATTTCTTGACTTTTTAAAGAAAATTTATTTATTTCAATTTGATTTTAATTTTAAAATATTATAAAAATTTTTAAATAGTAATATACAGTATATATATATATATATTTTTTTAAACCACAATTATATCACAATGTTGTGTCTCTATAAAAAAAAAAAAAAACTCTTTCCGCTGATTCACTATTTTTCTAAAAATTTTCTTTTTTGGTAATTTTTTAGAGAAAAAGAATAATACAATCCAAGCTCAGCAAACACAGTAAAGAGAAACACAACTATATCACTCCATTTGAAGTAACACATAAAGTTCTATAAACAAGCTATCAGGAGAAAAGTATATAATAATAATATTAGTACTTTATCCATCAACTTTTGAGGAAAGGGAAAATAAAAGTAAATCTGAATCACAGTAAGGCCAAGGGATCCAACATTAACTCTTCTAGCTTCCAACCAGGCCAATGCAGATTTACACCTTTCTAGACATTAGAAGGAACCTGGCAATATAGTAATCTCAAC